TTAAATAAAAGTAATCTAGAACACAAAGAAGATACAGGAATGACATGGCAGTCACTATGACATGACCCTATACACCACCCAGTAGTAAGCCACCTGTTCTGGTCTAGGCTCTAGCATCCAGCTTGAAGGGGGAGCACCTGTTCATTTTCAGAATTTATAACTTCTGAAACATGGAAATAGCAATCACAGTCTGAAAGAAACAAAGGTATGAAAATAAAGAACAATGTGATATGCAAGGTCGAAACTGCTTAGCAAAATGTGAAGATCACAGAACAATAGCTAGGTTAAATAGGTCATTTTTTTATGAATTTAGGACAGGGTCTACAGGGTCTCGCTACACAGATTGGACTCGTAGTGATTCTCCTGTTTTCAGCCTCCCAGGCACGGGGATTACAGGCGTGCCCCCACACCCAGTCTCAGTCACCTCTCAGCGGGCAAGGCATGCCGGGGGTCGAAGCCGTGCACCTGCCTGAGTAGGCACTTAGTCTGCTGAGCTATCTGGCCAGCCCTTAAGTAGGTCATTTCTGGCTTGATTATCAGGAAAACTCATGGACCATAATGATACATTTACTTGACAAACACTTACCTAACCCTCACTATATTCCAGGCACTTTTCTAAACATTTTCAGGAAAAATAATTGATGCTGTTCGGAGGTCAGTTATATCCACAGAAACCCATTTTGCCACTCAGGAAGCTAAGTGGCAGGAGAGTAACGAAATTTGGCAAGTGATATCCCCACTGGCTTTAGCAACCAGGGCTTGATAACAACGCAGAGCCACCACCGCAGACCGTTCAATAGAGAAGCTGTCGTGGGGGCTGGGCCTGCCCGGTCACAGGAGGCTAAGCCTTTGTGTGCCCCATGCTTGCTCCTGTGGCTGCCCCGAAGCCAGTATTAGTCAGCGCCTTCGGTGGGAAGGAACAACAGATGCGCCACCACAGGAGCGCACAGAGGGTGAGATGCCTGCTCCGTGTCACGGCTCTGCCTGTGATGGCGCAGCTCCCTGTGAGAGTCATACCTTCACTGCGCTACATTCTCTCTCGCCAGATGCAGAATTTGCAGATGCTGAGAGAGGCCAGAACGTTAGAAAACCTGGCCCCCAGCTGCCGCACCGTTACAGCACCCTGCGTCACAGATGGAGCCGGATGCTCCAGGGCTCACGCCCTGTGGAGAGCGCCAGCGTGAGCAGATGCGTACGAGCAGGGAACTGTGGGCCACGAAGCTCCAGTCTAGCTGAGCACACTCGGAGCAAGTCCCTGACAGCTGCGGGGCTGGGACTTGAAGCCAGGGAGCTGCTGTCCAGGCGGATGCACTCAACAGCTACTCATTTCACTTACAAGGAAGGACTGGGCTCCAAAGATCTAGTAAAGTTCAACCAGATCAAGATGTAGGCGCTATACGAGATACATTAAAACATGTGCGCAAATGCAAGACCAATTGCACAGTGCCTTAGAGAGCTTTTAGGGATCCTATTATTTCTCATCTCTCATAAATGAAAAACAATGTAGAAAATATGAAAAAGTTGATAGAGTCCAGATGTTTGGTTTCCTTTGGATAATTTCAAGTTTTTGCTACTCTAACTGTTGCTTTTATTCTTCTAATAGGTTTAAAACAGAAGCTGTAGCCAGATTCAGCATCATTTTCTTCCTGTGGGACGTTGTGTCCAAGGTCCTCCATGCTCAGGAAATCAATGCCAACTCCACCAGCTCTCACCAGGCTGCTGTCTTTGTTGCGACTCACCAGGATTTCAGCATTAAAGAGTTTGTGAAGAACAACGGGTTCTATCTCAACAGACGCACGCTGCTGTCTTGTGACTTCTTTGGAATGCCGTGCGGCCCGGAGGTAAGGGTTTGACAGTTCCCCAAATACAATCAAAATAATACATTAGGTTTTTGTACTGTTCCACACTGAGATCATTTTCTTGGAGAAATCAGTCTGCACTTGCTCAGCTATTATGTTTCTTTGGCTCTGCCTTGTGATGTCTGGTATTATAATATTGGGAGATACGGCGTATACATGAGATAAATTCTCTACTTCCAATAGCTAGAAATACAGAGAATGGAAATGCTGATGACCTTTCTCGGATCACAGTTCTTCCCAAAGTAAAACAACTTCACTAAACAAAATATTGTATTTCTTCTCATTTATCAGCAAACAACTCATTCCATGATAACGTGTGTATCATCTTTAAGCAGCTGTCGTGGTTCCTACACTTGTATGCAAGACAATAGAATAAGAGCCTGCCCCAGCATTCATCTATTGGAATGAATTACCATGCACAGAATATGTATTATGTATCATATATTCATTCATAACATATAAAATTTTACTTCTATGAGTTCTGTCACCAATCTGTATTTAAGACAGAATGTGGAGATTCCCAGAGTCCATTAATTAAGATACTGGTAGACAATCAGATTCTCATATTTCTGTGTCAGCAATTCTGCAAGCTACACTGCTAAGTGAGTCTAACTGAACTTTCCAAGGGTGCGAATCTGGGGTGCAGTCCTTATCCTTACAGTTGTCTCTGTCAGAGCACAAAAAATGCCCACGAGACAACACCGGAGACTAAGAAAAAGACCACAGACAGAAATGCCCCTCCAATACAAAAAAGTGGCCTAAACACCCAATTCAGAAGAAATTTTTTTCTCTTTTTTCTTTGCTGTTTGTTTATCAATATATTTAATCTCAACACCAGAGAATCTTGTATTAGATAAGATGTTTTCAGTTATGTATTACAGAAATCCAATTCTAGTAAGTTCAAAAGTAAAAAATAACTAAATAATAGGTTTGATGAGAAGGACAATTCTAAGTGTAGGAGTCACTTTAGAAAATGCCAGCTATCACTGATATTTTGTCTTTGCTTGCATCGCCTAACTCTGGCTGCCCTCCTCACACACTGACCAAAACGCTTGGCAGCAAGCCTGGGCTCTACTTACCGCAGATCAACATGCGAGTGGCCTCCGCATGGTCCCCCGGGAGAATGAGTAGCAATGTCGGGACACCCATCGCTTCATGACCAACTCACCGAGGCCACAGGGGAGGGCGGGAGGGCGGGACCAGCCCGCACGCACCTCCGCTTGCCTCTGCAGAGGGCCGAGGCTGCCGGTAGCGGCAGGTCAAGGGCAGAACCGCAGGCGTCCCTCAGATGAAAGATTGTGGAGCCGCTCTCCACGGGCAAAGATGTGTCCCTAAATCCCGAGGAAGGCATAAAATATATAATTTTACAAGTTCAAAATCATGCCTAATTACGTATGAAGACGTCTCCTTTAAAGAATCGCCCACAGATTGAAAGGCATACGTCAAAAAGGAGTAAAAGGCTGGGGAGATGGCTCCGCGGTCTGAGATCCTGCTTGGCAAGTGCAAGACCTGAATTTGATCCCTGGTCCCGCACGCTGTGCCAGCCCAGAAACCCCGGTGCACCGTACCAGCCCCTGAAACCAGCGGGTGGTGTACTCCCGGAATTCCAGCACTGGGGAGGCTGAGACAGGAGGATCACTGTGCGTTCAAACTGATAGGGAGACCCTGTACCAAATAGATAAATAAATAAATAAATAATATTTTTTTAAAAAGGAATAAAATTTATCATGGATTACACACATAAATCATGAGTCTGTCTATACATATTGATATTTTTGTATTGTTATTTATAGATCCGTGACTTTTTAGAAATGTTATAGAAATTTAAACTTTAGAAGTGAGAAAAATACCAAACTGATTTTGCATTATTTGGCTTCCTTTCTTGCTGGAGGATTTTAAACACATCATCACTGAATATGGAAACTGCTTTACTTTTAATCATGGTGAAAATATGCAAGCAAAGAAGAAAGTGAGTGTGTCTGGGAGAGGCTTGAACTTGGTCTTCGACGTCCGCCAGGTACCAGGGTTTTTGAACAAAGCCAGGGTGGGAACAGTTGCCCGGGGGAAGGATTTCAAAAACAAAACAAAGAACAGAATAATTCATTTTGTTAGACAGACACGATCAACTGGACATTATTTGTTTGTGCCGCTATTATCCCGGTGTCCTCTGAATGCTACATAACTGCTGATTTAGATTTTAAAAAGCAACATTTTCAGGCATAATCTGGAGAGTCTCAGCTGTACTATTGATATCCTTTATGTGATTCCAAGAATTATTCATGCCATAAAATAAGGAAATCAGAGACTTCTAAGTTGCTAATTTAAGATGACTCTATGCACTATTATTAGTAAAATTTTCATGTAAAAAGGCAATATATTTTAGAAAGGAATTACCTACACACTTCACAAATAGTTGAAAAAATTATCTTGAAAGATGCCACAAGAATACTTGCTATGCAAGGAATGATGTATCAGTGAGCCTCTGTAATCCCGGCTTTGAGAAGGCACCGCTGCCCTGAGAGGCGGGACTCAGGGCGGAGACCCGGGAGGCTGGTGCTCAGACCCTGGGAGCCAGCAGGGGTCCGAGGGTGCAGGCCGAGCTCGCACTGCAGGTCAGAGCCCACTTCTCGTCCTGAGCAACCGCTTAGGCTGTCACATCGGAGAGGCCCTCTCCATCACCTGGCACTGGTAAATGAGGACTCTGGAGGCCGGCAGATTAAGCAGGAAAATCACAGGGACTGAGATGATAAATACACCCTAAACCTTGCCAAAACTCCTTCTCCTCTTCGCTACATGAATAAGGCCCCTGGGTATTTTTTAAGAATTTCTATTAAGGTACTTCTCATAACTCCCTCTTATAGCCTATTCATGATATTTTCTTTATTCCAAATGCAATGTAGGGGCTGGTGAGATGGCTCAGTGGTCTAAAGCACCTACTTAGAACAAGCCTAGCAAAGCACAGGGACCGCGGTTCAATCCCCCAGCACCACATGCCAGCCAGCCCCGCCCCCTGGTGGGCTGAGCTGGCCACACACACACACACACACACACATAAATAAATAAAATTCAAATGCAATGTACACAAAAATACTTTTACCTACCTATGTTTGTGTAAGGTGTGTGTGTGTGTGTGTGTGTGTGTGTGTGTGTGCATTTGCTAATATTTTCAAGTCTTTCATATTCCCCTATAATAATATGTTAAGTAGTGGTACCACATGGTCAGTTATGAATTTCATAAGCTAGAATCCCCAAATACTTTTGTGGTGTCATTAAAATCTACAGTTTAGTTCAATATCCCATAAATGAGCAACACTGTGATGCTTCCCAGACTAGGAATGTATTTCATGGGGCAGGGGACAACAGCCCATGAGGAACAGGATTCCAAGTTACAAATGGAACATTAAGCATGTTTATTAAAGGTAATTACACAAACAGTTGACCCATTTACTAAAAAAATCAATATATTCTCAAGTCCATTCCTGCTCCTTTTAGCCTGTAATTACAGTCAAGTTATGGGTCTCAAATTTCTCCGTCTCACATGAGATTATATCAGAGAAGCACTGGTGTTAAAACGTTATCTAACTCTTCATTCTTATGAAAATAAACTTTGATGTTAAATAAGGCCTTGGACTTTAACTGCAAAAAGAGGGCCAAGTGATCCTCAAAATGCATGGCCTGCAGAGAATGGCCCAGGGCCAGCGACTAAGAACACCTAGCCAAAGAGTGGGCCAGGGAGGCGGAGAGCCTCGTCCCATCCTGCGTGCGTCCGCTGTGTGTCTGTGGGGCAGACAGACCTCTGGGGAATTCTCAGAGCTTTCAGCTGGGACTCAGCTGTGAAAGTCGTCTTTGATATCTCATCCTCATACCATTCATATAAAAGACTGACTCCTAATCATACATGATTGACCTTAGGTAGATTAAATGCCATCAAGAGGTGACAAAGCTAAATCTTAAACTTGTATAGGACTGATACAGTTGATTTGTGTTTTTGATGTACATGATTTTGTTTCAGGAGGAATTTACGGACAGCCCAGCCCTTGGCTTTGCTGATGCAGGGATCGTCTTTGCCATCCACTCACCTAAAAAGGAGCCACAGTTCGACGGCTTGGGCTTGTCCTCACCGGTGGGGATGCACGCCAGGGTGACAATCCGCCAGCTGAAGGTAAGCACTTGGGAGGTGGCGTTGGGGATCAAGAGGTGTGGTGAGTGTTTAAATGCTCACATAGTATCATCTTACCGGAAACCCTCCCAAGGCTTTGAATCACTGGGAGAAACACCGACGTTTCCTTTGAGGTTCTCTTCTTTTCTCGGAGGCATGCACGTAGCAACAGGGAATCTACACACACAGCGGGGAAGCTGTCCTGCCGAGGCCAGGGAGAGTTCCTCTGGAAGTGGAAAGGCTCCCTAATGGGCCAGACCACAGTTGCTGAGCCCATCACAGCCTCAGTGCAGCCATGTGGAAGGGAGAAGGTCAGCGAGGGGTGACTCAGCCTGCCGTTTATTCTCTCAATTAACTTTCTTCAATTGTCTCTCCTCCTAGAATAGTGAAGGGGGGCCTGGTGGTAGTATTTCTCTTTCATAGTTGTTTCATGAAATTTAAGTAACATAAAAGCAATCTTCACTTCGTTGTTTAGTACGTAATAGGTGCCCAATAAGAACATTTTTGTAATATTGTCTGCTATTTCATGGATAACATTAAGAGGCTGAAATGATGTTTACATAAATGATTTTTTTCTTTACATGAGTTCATTCTTAAAATTATTAGTTTAATCTTATGGATTACCCTTGGAATAAATGTTAAAAGACCACTATTATACTTCACAGACTTTCAGGTTCAGAGAGCAGGCAAAGCTGGCAAACACAAGTCAAGTTTAAAATATCAAGGAGGGGCTGGAGAGATGGCTCAGTGGTCTAAAGCACCTATTTGGAACAAGCTTGGAAAAGCACAGGGACCGCGGTTCGATCCCCCAGCACCACATGCCAGCCAGTCGTGCCCCCTGGT